GGAGGCACTGCTCCTGGTGATTTATCCTTTGGGGGGGGGGCGGCGAGCCGGGGGGGGGGGGCATTGACGTTCAACTTTGAGAACACATGAGCGACGGACCCCCCGAAGGGCGCCCCCGATGAGCCCCGAGAGTGCCCCTGGACACCCCAAAAGAGCCCAAAGAGGGCCCCAAGAGTGAGAAAGAGGACGAGAAGGAGGAGGCAGAGGAGGAGAAGGAGGAGGAGGAGGAGCAACGAGCACTGAGCAATTGCCAATTAGCAACGCGCGGGGAGCTCAAACAAGTTGCTCTCGCTCATGCCAGACCCTGGTAAGAACTCTGCGCAACCCGACTTCATGGGCAGCGGGTCATCTATTGAAATGACGGGGTAGCCCCGCTGGCGGGACCAGCACAGCCCCCGAACGGCGGCGAACCCCCATGACGCCACGCAAGCGCACTGGGGAGAGCCACCTAGGGCACCGACTCATGGCCGGGTCCGCGGCCCTTACTACCGCCCTTCGACCCACGCGTGGCCCGCTTGGGGGCCACCACGAGGGAGATGCGAAGAAGGCTTGGATTAGCACACGCATCAAAACGAAAGGCCCTGAAAGGATCGGGAATATCGCCTCGGGCCACTAAACTGGCCAATCGCTCACTACCCGAGAAGACCTCTCTGCTTAACTTTGAAACCTGATTCGCGCTACTACGTACCCCATCCCTACCTCGGCCCCCACTTCTTTCCTCACTCACAGGGTAAAGATGTTCCGCCCGTGGCCTCGGCTGGCACATGTCTTCTCGATCAGGTCCTAGAGGCGCGCGGCCTCGCGCTCGAGGGGGGCCCCTGGGGGCCGGCCCCATCAGATGCTCCGACCGGGACATCTCGTGATTGAGGAACCATGGGAGGATCTCGCGAGCCTGGACGCCCGCCTCGTCGTGGCTGAAGGCGAGTCAGGCGGCTCTTCTTCGCGGTCTGCTGCCCCTGGCTGCTGCCTGCTGGCCCCTCCGCCTCGGCGTTTTTCTTGCCCCTGCGCCCCCGATGGCGAGTTCGCAGCGCATGCTCGCCCAATGTCGTCTGCACGGCCGTCTGGGTGAACTGCGCGAAGTACTCGTTAAACACCTCCTTGTCGGCTTCGAAGCACTCAGCGCCGCCGCCCAAGAAGGCCGCCGCACTGCCGACGCGGCAGAGCACGATCGCGGCCCACAGCTGCACGCGCGGCGGCCCCCTTTCTCGGTGGTCGACCTTCTCGCCTGCTCGCTGCCGCTCTCATGCATCTGGACGCTTCGTCGTACTTGACGGCCGACTAAATCGCGAGCTGGGCGAAGCCGCCCCCAGCCTCGACGAGCCCCCACGCCCGGCGCGCCGCGCCAGCGAGTTTCGCGAGCTCGCGCGACCAGGAGAGGCGCGACATGGCGAGGAGGAGGACAAGCGCCCCCACCACATCCCCCCCGCCTTTCCTGCCTTTCTGGCCGCCTTTCGCGCGCCTCGCCAGTCGCCCCCCCGAGCCGCGGCCCCCTGGCGCCCCGCGCTTCGCGCCCGATATCGCCCGCATCCACGTCGCAGGCTCGAGCTCCCCCACCCCCAGCAGGGCGCGGCTGCGCTCGGCGCCGACGAGGCGGGACTGGGCCAGGCACGCGGCTACGCAGACGCTCGAACACTTCGCCCATCCGAGCCGCTTCACATTCACATCGGGGGCGCGACGGCGACGGCGGAGGCGCGAGAGAGACCCGCGCGCCGCCCCCCCCCTCCCCCCCCCCGAACCGACAACGCCCCCGTTGAGCAGCAAGCGCTAGATGCCGAGCAGCACAAGCCTCGCCCCATAATACTTCGAACAACCAGATGCGGGTGCGGCACGGGGTGAGAACACGACATGGCGAGCGGAGGCCGCGGCGCGAACGCACATGCGCCAGAAGGCCTTGTCGGCGAGGGAAATTCCCCTCGCGCATCTCGAATTGGCGCCGAAAAAATGCGCCAGCCTCGGGGGCATCCCCCGCGGCATTCCCCCACTCCTTCTCCCCCGCGAAACCGGGGGGCGCGATGGCCCAGCCGCGAAAAAAATCCTCGCATGGCAGCGAAGCCAATATACAACAAAAATCTGACTTCGGGGCCCCACGCGAGCCCGGGCCGATCAGCAATTCCTCCCAGGACAACCTCCGGATCACGAAGAAGCCCTTGCAACAAACGGAGGCCCCCCACCACCCCCAGAGCCCACGGGGAAGCCCAGGGGGCCAAGCAACCGCCGATCACATGCGCGGGCCCAGATTCGAAACGCACCTTCCCGAAGCGATCCAAGAAAAGTCGCAGGTGACTACATGGGCGCGCAGACTAAGATTTGCACACACTCAGACGACGAATACTGAGCCCCACCGAAGTCCCACAGATACGCAAATGCTTTACCACTGCCGTATTCGCGAGCACCCGCGTCGCTCCCGGCGCAGTCGCCCAACTGGCGCGCCCCTGCACGCAGACGCGAGCAAAATAGACAACGGTAGCATCGAGCCGTGCACACTGCTGCTCGGCAGCAGCCCGGCAATAAAAAATGCCTCGAGACCGCGCAAAGCCGAATTCTGCGCGAGAGACCATGCGATTGCACCCAAAAGCGAATGCACTTCACGAGACAGGCCAAGACCAGAAGCCGCCCGAGGAATAGGAAGCTGAGCGGACTGCCTGACGCCGCGGGCAACCTCTTGGCTGGAAGCCTGAGACATGGAAACGCAAGGCCCCAGATCCCCCCCCCCTCAGGGCGCCCGAGATAAAAGACTGCCCAGGCCCTCGAGGCCACCACAGACATGCCATAGCCCCTTCCCCCTCCAACCATACTGATAGCTCCTGCTCCCATCGATTCTGCGGATGCCCAGATTCGTGGAAGCGCGAGCCGAGCAAATCACCAAACTGGCGCAGCGCGGCGAGGAAGGCCCACGGGGGGGGGGGGGGGGGGCGGGCCTGGGCGAGAAGGGCGCAGCGGCACAGATCGTCCGCGCTTAGACAGACTGAGGTCCAACTCCTGGCCTCTCTTCCCAAAGCGCAGGAGATTCAACGAAGGGCCCAGTTCACGCAAGGGCTCCGTCCACTGCCGCATAGGGCGTTGAACTTTAAACGAAAAAGCTGCAGCAATGAACGGACCCCCCGTCGCACCCCCCACCCGCGCATTGACGGCCACGCCCCCCTCGTCGCTAGGCAGTGAGACAATGGCGTCGCGATGGCGCCTTCTACAGAGCTGCAGGTTCTCATCAGACGTAGACATTGCAGCGCCCGTCGGAGTCCAGGACGCGCTGCCGAAAGCATTGCCCGTTTCCTCAAGGCTGGCACCGTAGCTCCACCCCGCCTCTCTCAGTCTCCACCCCGCCACCTGCGACGCCAAGATGGCCCCCGCGCGAAGAGGACGCCCCTGAAACCTATTATCCTCCTAGGGGGGCTCGTCGGGGAGGGTCGGAGAGGAAAACCTTGCCAGCGACGCGGGGGGCGCGGGCCACCCTCTTGCCCTCGGGCCCAGGCAGGGCCGACGTGTGGAGAGCACACCCACGACTGCTACTCCAATGAAGTGACGCCAGATCTGCGACGCGCGCCTTGATCATTGCATCCAGCAGAAATTCGACAAAAGGCGGGTTCAGCAGACACTCGCTGGGCGCCGAGGCCGGCGCGTTCAAATTCCACGCATGCTTCGCGATGTAGCAACTGTCACCAGAGCCCCACCGGGGCCGCACCGTCTGGGATAACTCGACACTTCCAGGCTCTTCGAACATAGCTACGAAACCTCTTTATATCAATCAGAACCGATCCATTCGGTCGAAGATCGTATCGAGCGACGTCCCACATCTGCGCGAGGTCGAGGTCGTCTCGTCGGCGTCGACGTTTGTCAAGATCGGATTCACCTTCACACCTCCCTTCCCTCCGAGATGCTGCCAAACGCCAAGCCGTTCTTGTTTCGAAATCGGTGACATCCCGAACCGTCGTCCATCGCAATTCTTGGACGAAAAACGACATCGCGCAGCTCGCCCCGCCCAGCCCATGGCCTGTGAAAGGTTGCGTCGGGCCCACGTTTCACGAGATGCTTGCGCGAAGAAGTCGCGCTCTGCTCGCTGATGCCTCCGAGAAGTGCGAAAGACTGATATGGAGCGTCCTGATCGCGCATTCGAGCCCTGTCCTCCTCCTTTTCCCTGGGCCATCGATCCACCCCCTCCACGAAATCGACGCGCTGCGCGCCCGCCTTGACTGGAGCCCCAGAGAGAACATGTTCCACGTAACTCTGGGCACCGTTGGACATTCATGAGGGCCCTTGGGGTGTAGGAGTTCGAGGCGAAGTGGCACATGATCACGAAGGGGGCGTCCTTCCTGAGCTCGCAACTGGGCGCCCACGCGCAGTGGTGTGCGACACGTGACAAGGCGCGAGCACCACCTTTGAGGTAAGCACAGACATCGACCAGGCTCGGCGGACCTGTTGGCCCTTCTCCGGAAAAAATCCCCCGCCCCATCCCGCCTCCTCTCTCTCTCTCGTCTTAGTCGGTCCCACCGTCTCACTCTCACACTCCTCCCACTGCCCCTCGATCCTGCGACATCCCAACACAGCTGTCAAATCAGCGACTGTCTGGACACACGTTGGGCCAACGCCCTCGCTGCGAGGCTGAGGAGGGAAGTACACGACGCTTATACACACGTCCACGAGGTAGTGACGTACCCGCGCCGCTTGGCATCGTCCCCTAAACTCTTTGGGGGGGGGGCTGGCAACAAAACATAACAAAAACAACAACAAAACAGCAACAACAAAACGTGCATGGTTGCCCCAGTAATCCCGGTCCAAAAGAGCAGAAACTCCTGCACTTCGACTAGTACACAATCATGACTGTGCTGCTGCTTCGAGAACCACTCTCCCATCCACCCGCCTCTGAAGGACCTTGGCCGACGCCCAACCAAAAGTGTCGCGTACCTGCCAAGGGTGTGAAAACCAGGTATTTGATGAAACTGGCGATCTCTTGGGGGGCGACCTCCCGTGCCAGACATCATATTCCATCCGAGCACTTGCACCTTCGACATGGTCGGCGGTCGCCCCATCA